TGGCGTGTTTGTACTCGGTCGTATAGCGTTCACGTGTTTCGGTTGCACGGCGATCCAGGAGGCGGAGTTCGGCCGCCAGGTCGGGGTCCAGCTTGGTTGCTGCCATGAACTGTTTGACGACTCGTGTTCGTTCATCGGGTGTGGTAGAGAGCGGGCGCAGGAGGCGGATGTGGTCGAGTGTCTTGTAGCGGGTGAGCAACACGTACATGGTTGCACGCTTGAGGCCACCGGGCGGGACGGAAAGGTCTGCGACCCAGCATTCTTCCTTGAAGCTACGGCCCTGTACGAAGTAGTCGGTGACGGCGTAGTAGTCACCAAGCGGTACATTGACTCGACGTACATTTTTGGTGGTGGTGCCGGTGTTGGCGGCTGGCACGGTGATGTTTGCTGCCGGCGAGGGCCGTGGTACGATGGCGAAGGCAGCACCTTTGGCTGCGAAGTCCGATAAGTCTGCTAGCACCGCTTTGGGTGCGTGCCCTTTAATGGGACGGACCAAGACGGCTGCAGGTAGGTAGTGGAGGCGCCAGTACGGGCCGCGGCCGTCGTCGGGCGGTTCACGGCTGTCGGTAAGCAGGCCACACACCTCGACTTCATTGTTGTGGCACGCGCCGGCGTCGGCAGCTGTGGTGTCGAGTAGGGTGTAGCGTGCACCCTCGTAGTACCAAGTGTCGGCGGTGGTGTGGTCGAAGATGGCGTCTTTTACTCGCATTGCGACAGCCTTTTCGACGTGTGAGAGCGCCTGTTGTTGGGTTGCGCCATGTTGCCTAACCGGGACGTGGTCCGCATTCCAGCTGACCAAACGCACTCCTTTGCGGCGCGCCTGGAGCATCAGGAGGCGTGTGTTGAGCGCGTGCCTGGGTTCGTTCCGTTGCAGCATGACGCGGGGTTCGAGGTCTGTGAGATCGGACAAATCTGTGATGACGCGTTGGTTGAGTGCGTCTACTAGATCTGCGACACGTGCTTCAGTGGTTGGAATGCCGCCGAACATGGTTGTGAAGCGGGTAAGCTGCTGGCCAGATGGGCTGTTGTCTTGCCGCTGCTGTTTCTGCAGCATGAATACGGTGCCGCCGAGCTGACGGTACAGGTTGAAGCCGTCGTGTAGGCGGGTGTGCGTCTGTGGCACTGGGCGACGAGTGCGACGTGTGGAGGTGGTGGCGCGACGGTTGCCGGTGTCGTCGTCTGCGTCAGTGTTGTCATTGTTGCTGTCATCAATACGGTGACCTCGACCTTCGTCAAGCGAAGCTGGTGTGCGTTGTGCTGTCGGTGCCGAGGGAGTGAACTGG